TTTTTTCTTTCTTCCTTCCTTCCTTTCTTCCTTTCTTTCTTTCTTTCTTTCTTTCTTTCTTTCTTTCTTTCTTTCTTTCTTTCTTCCTTCCTTCCTTCCTTCCTTCCTTCCTTCCTTCCTCGTTTCTCCCTATCTTCCTTCCTTTTTTCTTCCTTCCTTCCTTCCTTTCTTCTTTCTTTCTTCCTTTCTTTGTTCCTTCCTTACTTTCTTTCTTCCTTTCTTCCTTCCTTCCTTCCTTCTTTTCTTTCTTTCTTCCTTTTTTTCTCTCTCTCTCTCTCTCTCTCTCTCTTTCCTTCTTTCTTTTTTTTTTTTCGTTTCTTTTTCTTCTTTCCTTTCACAGTGATCAAACTCTTGACCTTGTGCTTGCCAGGCAGGCACTTATTCTGCTGAGCTAAATCCTGGCCCTATTTTTTTCCATCATTCAGTCAGTATGATTTTTTGACTAAATCATGTAAGCTTCTAACATTCTAGGTAATCATTGGTGGGTAAGGACTTATTACTGTTATATCTTTGTTTTCTAGTTGCACTGCAGATCTCTTCTTTCTTTTTGTCTCCCTTTTTCTTAAGTACTAAGAGTATCTTTGCATCTCTGCTGCTGCTATGAGTTGCATTGCTCCATAAATCCCTTTACTTTACATACTTCTATTTCCATGAAGACAACGTATATCTTTCATACGGTTTTGTAATGTTTCTTCCAGCTGTAAACAGTGCCTGTGAAGCAGGTCATATAAAATTGGTTTAGCCAATATGTAATACTTTGGTAGTCTTGTAATCCAGAAATGAGCCCCCCATAGCCCCCTTCTTTGAGTCCAAAATGGGGAAAAAGATTTTTTTTTTTTAAAGCAACGCCAATTTATTTTATCCTGGCCAAAGGACACAGTGTAGTTGGAGTTTGCAAAAGCTGTGTGTCTCCCTGAAAACTTTCCTGACTTTTTGTAGAAAGTACATTTTCCAATGTGGGCATGGATCAGGAAATCTGCTAAGGAATGAGGAAGACCTATGTTTTCCTTAGCAGAGGACAGAGAAGTCTAGCAGTAATTAACAACTCTTTGTTGACTTATTTTAGCACAACATCTGTTGTTTGTAGAGGGCAGCAATAGATAACATATCAATTAGGTTAGGTTCCCAAGGACTTACAATTCTTTACAGAGGGGAACGTTGATTAACGTATCAATTAGGTCTCCCAAAAAATAAAGCTTGCATACAGAATAGTAAGGGTATTACAGGTAGTTTGGTCATATAATTTGGGCATAACACAAACTTAACGAAACTCTTATTGCTAGTGTACAGCAGCTAGCATGAAATGACGTCTACTGAAATTATAATCAGCCTATATAAAAACATCTACCATACACAAGAAAACATAAGGACCCCATTTGTTTAATATATTTTCATTGTTAGAGAATGTATGACTGTAATTAGATCTTTGTGTTTTTGTCCAGTTTGAAGATCTCTCCCATTTGTGGGGAAGATTACATTCCCCAATGCTGATATTGTTTTTATGTAATGTGAGTGTTTTGGTTTTGCCCCTGATGCTTTACTCATTGGTCTCTTATAATTACTTGTCTTGGCAACATTGTTGTTCTTTTCTTGTTTTTTCTACTAACCTGTGATTTGTGAAACAATCTATTGTGAAACAAATCTTTCGTATGTAACGGTTTCAAATTTTGTGTTAAAAATCTATAAAATTAAAAATTGAGTTTTAGTTTCTCTCTATGGTTATTACTATATGTATTACTTCATTTTAAGTTACAAGTACACAGTATGGTGTTACAATTACTATATTCTTGTTTTAAAAATAAATAAATGACAATACTTTAATTATTTCAAGGGATATTCATCTTGATATAGGGGAATGAAATTCCTGACCTACTATGTGAAAGGTTTATTCCCTGGATGGGAAGCTTCAGTGGTGGGAGGCCAAACCAAGGGACTGTAGCTTGAGGTCACCTTCCTTGCCCCTAGGCAATTTACCTGTGGCATGAAATGAATTCCAATGGGCTACCTGTGCATCAGTAATGCCCCTTAGGCACCACCCCAAACCTAAGCTACATGTCTGCCCCCACACCACATGTCAGACAGAGAGAAAGCCAGATCCTAGAGGTCATGGAGTCTTTCTCCACATTCTTAAAGGCCAGTTTTATTTTATATTTCTTATCTTTTTATCTGGACTGAAAATTCTATCACTGTGTCCACGAGTTTGTGTTGTCTAAAATTGAAGAATGAACTTTAGGAACAATGGAAGTTAAGAGTAGAATATATTTATAAATGAAAGACAGCTTTTGTCTGAAGAGAGACAGTAGGGGTCCTGAGTAGATTGTCAAGGACTGTCCCCTGCCTAGGGACTTTTATAGAGCAAAATCATGGGGCTAGCCGGGTTCATAGTGGGGGAAGACTGGGAACTCAGAAAGAAGGTTAGCATAAGGTGGGCCATAACTGTATTAGCCAATAAGATTCATAGATTAAGTTAAAATTGATTACATTAGGGACAAATGGGAAGCCAGTCACCTAGAAAGTGGGCATTCTTAATGAGCAGTGACTCTTCCCATATGGGATTGGGATCCTGACTCCTGACTTCCTCAGGGTGATAGGGAACTATTTAGAATATCAGTCTCAGGATATAGGTGTATTTGTTTGATCTTTTGTCTTTTGAGGACTAGCCAACCGCAGGTGTCTGGTTCTCCCTGCTATGGCAGGGTATCTGAGCTTATACACTGACTCCTTTGAGGACCTATCCCTCTCTCACTGCTTATAATATTTCTAACTAACTCAGCTGCCCACAACAATCCCTTTTTGTGACATGATTTGTTGTGTGTGATTTCTTTTTTTTTTGTCTCTTTCATTTTTATTGGTATCAGGGATTGAACTCAGAATCGCCTGCTTGCAAGGCAGGTGCTTATGCCGCTGAGCTAAATCTCCAGCCCCTGTTGTGTGTGATTTCTGTTAGTATTTTATTGTTGCTGTACTACAGCAGTAGATGTTTTTTTGAGGGGGCTCTTTATTTCATTTGCTTCTTAAGTGTACTCATTTGATTCCCTATTTGGCTTTTTGACTGTGTCAGTCCTGGTAATTTACTACTAAGCATTCTCTGTAAGTCACTTACAAAAATTGTGATAAGTACTTTCTTCCTTTTGGGTTGTCTTTGTATGTTTGACATTTAGCAATTTTATTTATTAGTTTTGTGATTATTTTATTTAAGTTTCATGAGTATATCTGCTAGATGTGGTGTTACATGCCTGTAAACCCACCCAGCATTTGAGAACCTGAGGCAAGAGGATTGCTGAGAATTTGAGACATGCAGTCTGAACCCTTTCTCAAAAAATGTATTTTTAAAAGTTTTAATAAATTTCTTAGATGTGTATTAATGTTTTTCATAATTTTGGGACTGTTTCTCGTAACATTTGGTTATATTTTCAAATTTTCCAATTTTGATTGGGAATTGTTTATTTTATATAGTTTATTGCTACTCTTTTCTGTTTTGTTTTCTCTGAGCTACTTTTTAAAAAAACACATTTTCATTACTTCTGATTTCTCTGATGCATGTGTCTCTTTTTGTTGGTTTTATTGTTTTAATTTTTACCTGGGTTCTTTTGTGCATAATAATTTAATGGTTAGCTAATTATTGAAGCCAATTTTAGTCCAGAGACTAGAAATTTTTGTAACATGATTGTTGACCTTTATTTTTGGTTGAGGAATATAATCAACATTGCAGTCCATTTTCAAGTCTTCATTTGAATTTACTGCACCATGGGCTTACACTGAAAGAATTAATACCTCAAAAATCTTTAATATGCTATCATAATTAATTAGTCAACTCTAATTATTCACTTATTTCTGATCATTTGTGAGTGAATTTGATGATTATGAGTAAACTTTTTGTTTCCATGCTACATCCTTTTCGAAATGACATCTATCTAAAAAGAATGTATCTAAATCACGAGAAAGGTTGGTCTTTTCCTAAGCATTTAGCACAAATTTGCATTCTGATTCTCTTTATTAAGGGTTCCCTTTTCTCTTCTTTTACTCTTCTGTGGAAAATACTGGGGACTGAATCCAAAAGTGCTGAGCTACATATTGCTTAAAAAATTCTATTTAGAAACTGTGGTACTTTCAACCACAGTTTTGCTAGATTGCCCAGGCTGATTTGAAATTAACAATCTTTCTACCTCCACACTTCCTGAATAGCTAGTATTATAGGTTCAACCACTAAACCAGATTTATTTGTATCATTTTAAAAAAAGCTAGTTTTAAAGATTATTCCTATTTTTTTCAGAAACATTGCCTTGCAGTTCACAGACTTTAAAATATTAGAAGGTAATTTGAATACTACCAATAGATTTTCAGAGAATTAAAAGTCACTTAGGTATTTAATTTCTGAGCTTTATTTAATTTCTGAGCATTATGTTTGTTGTTTTTGAGAGTGTTATTGACAAATTTCACTTTCCATGAAGACAAAAGGAAGGTAGAAAATTTAAATAGCTTTTTAAAAAATGTCCTTAGAAATTTAGTATTTTTGCTCTTGAGGTTTATTGATAGTATGTTACAGGTTTACTAGAATTTAAAAATTTAAGATACTTTGTTTATTACAGTTACTATAAATGAATTGCTTATGTATTTATGACTTTATTTGTTAATTCTGGTATGTGTATTTCCCATTTAAACAGAGGGTATATTTTTCTTCACGTGAAAATGTTTAATAATCATAATTGAACAGTTAAAAGTTTTGGAACATTCTGCAAGACATTTTTTTTTAGCGTTCTAATAAATGTAGCCATCAAATTAATCATCTAGGACAGATTATTTATTCAGAAATACTATGCTTTTGTAATTATTGGAACTTTCACAACCTGAGGATTTGGCTTAAGTTTTATATTTAGTTGTTTATTTTTGATGATTTTGCTGTAATTTAACATTTTAATTCTCAGTGTTCTATGTATGCAGTCTTGAGTTGCTTTAACTTCTTAACCAATACTCTTTGTTTCTTTTCAAAACAAATTTAGGGGCTTCATAAAGATCAAAGTTCATATTTGGCAGGACCTAATGATGAACAACCTCTGTTTCCTAATGGCTCTACCCAATATCTCCGAGCAGCTGTTCAGAATCAGAATGGACTTCACAAGCTGCCTAGAAATTCAGCACCACAGAGCCATGCTTGCAGTCACCTCTCTTCTCATCTTGCTACCTCAGGTGGACAAGAAGATATTACCTTTACCAAAGAGAGAAAGTCTTCAGGAAATAGATACTTGGGTTCTGAAACAAGCAGGCATGCTGGAGACACATCCAATAGCTGTGCTGGTATCAGAGGACTTCCTAATTATGTCCATCAAGTCACAGCGGTTACTATTTCTAGTCATAACCATACAGGATCTGTGTCACCAAATTTAATAATTGCAGACAATCCTCAGCTCTCTACTTTGTTGATGGGAGAAGCCAATGACAATATGGGTATTGCAACTAGTGAAAAAGTCAATAATATTTGTCCAACTATTCATGCAAAGTCTGATAATTTACTCTCTTCAGCCATTTCCACAGCAACACCTTCTCCAGATTCCACTGAGCAGGCAAGAAGACACGGTGTTAGCAGCCTTAAAAGTACTCAGAGTGCATTACACACAATTAATGGAGAAGAACCGGAGAACTTACAGAGCTCTACAAAAGTTGACTTGCCTGTATTTAGCCACAAGGCTAGTCCTCAGATCATACCATCAATGTCTGTATCTATATATTCCAATTCAACAGAAGCTTTGAAGGCATGCAGGTAATTATGCAAAAGTTTGTTGATAAGTGAAAACTGTTGCATATTAACCTGATCAGGAGGCTGAAAATACGATTTTCTTTAAAAATGGAATACAGTTTTTTTCTTTTAAAGTATAGCAAAATACCTTGTGCTTACATTTCTAACATAACAGTTTCAAAAGGAGTTTTATTAGGTTTGAAAGTTGTGGTTATAATAATTAATGAAATATGAAAAGTATATCTTTTATGTTTTTTGGTACTAGGGATTGAACTCATGACCTCATGCTTGCCAGGCAGGTAGGTGCTTATGCTGCTGAGATAAATCCCTGCCTTGAGAAATACATCTTTTATAAACAGCTTTGAGATGAAATTTTTGCATAGTATTCATTTTTATTAGTTTTACAATCTATTTGATAAAAAAATCAAGGTTATAAAACAAGCAGGAGAACCAGGACATGCAGGGAGAATGAAAAGATGTGATGGACTACCAGTCATGGTGGCAGAAACAGCCTTGCCTTCCCTTGCCTTCTCTCCTCTGCCCTTCCCTCCCCTCTCTCTCCCTTCCTTCCTTCCCTTCTTCTTCTCTCTTTCTCTTCCTCTCTTCTCATTCATTCATCCATTTAAGAATTTTGTTTTAATTTAAAACCTAAAGAGTCTATCCTCACCTCTGTTCTGCTTCACCCTCTGGATAGCTAAAGATTACTAATCAGTTATTCTCATGTGCCTATTGTTTAACTTCATTTGGGGAATGATTACTACATTGTGTTTGAGATTTAAAATTACAATTTTAGAGGGCTGGGGAATTTAGCTCAGCGGCATAAGTGCCTGCTTTGCAAGCCCATGGTCATGCGTTCGATCCCCGGTACCAATAAAAAAAATTATAATTTTAATATTTGGCCAGTTATGCCTCGTGCATGCCTCATCATTTTCTTTTTCTTTTGAGATATAGCTGTCTTTGTTTTTGTATTACTTTACTGTCCTGTGAGAGTAAATTCATTTTAAAATTTCTATTGTACAACTGTAGAAATTACAGAGTTCTGCTGCCAATCCCTATTTCCTTCTCTGAGTTGCTGATACTATATGAGATAAACAGCAAAATAATTTAACATAAGGGACTTTTTTGCTACATTTAAAATCTTAACCCATATTTTACGATGTTTTAAATATTTATTATAGTCATGCATTTTTAGGTGATTACTGTTATGCAAACATCATAGAGTTGATAAGTACACTCTTAACATAGACATGACTTCACTCTGCTGTTTATACTCTCGTGGGACCATCATCATATGTTTGATTTATTATTGGTCATGTATGATTATATGTTAGGTTTGAAACAAGCTTTATAATGAAACTGAATCTTATTCTGTTTAAAATATAAAAATAGCTGATTATAATTCAACACTGATAGCAAACCTTTACTATGTAGAGATTATGATAATCTTACTACACTGTCATAATGAAGGTATTTCAGTCAGATCATCAGCAAGATATTTTCTATTCCTTAATATTGTGTGGGATTTGTAAATTAGGATCAATTTCTATATTTAAATTTAAAGGCTAAAGAGGTATTATATGTCGTTCGTAATGTATGTGTGTCTTGGTGGCTCATTGTATTCAAACATACATACTAGTTTATAGTATTTTAGGTAAATATATGGTGTAGTTTAGTAGATCTATACTCTTTCAATTAGGGAACTAAGGGATTTCATACAAAATACATAAATTTAAAATTCATCACAATTTCTTGTAGTTAATGATGACTTGTGACTACAATATATTACTTCTCTAACCAACGCATATAGTGCAGTCTAAGCCTAGGCTCCTATTAATCCAAACAAAAGGCCTAAGAATTTTGCTTATTAAAGTAAACCAAAAGAACTGTTAATTTGTGCTTTGATATGTAGTTTTCTGCAAAGTTAAAAAAAATTACTATGGGGGCTGGGGATTTAGCTTAGTGGCTTAAGCACCTGCCTGGCAAACAGACAGTCATGAGTTCGATCCCTGGTACCAATAAAAAAGAAAAAAAGAAAAAAAAAAAAAAGACAAAATAAAATTACTATGTAACAAATGTGATTATTGATACTTTTTGGAAATAGTTATTTCCTATTATTTTCTTACTCCCAAGAAATTTTTGCTTTGAGATTTTAATCACTTGTTTTTGAATTTTGATATTTATATTTGACAATTTGAATAATTTGAGAGGTTTTCAGAAGTTTTTTTTTTTTTTTTTTTTTGTCTTTTTCCTTTTTTCAGTACCGCGGATCGAACTCACAACTGCCTGCTTTACGAAGCAGGCGCTTATGCCGCTGAGCTAAACCCACAGCCCCCAGACGTTTTTAAAATGCTAAGAATTTAGGAACATTTATGCTGAGTGTGGTGTTACATTCCAACCCCTACCATGTTTAGAATGAGGCAGGACGACTCTGTTGAGTTTGAGGCAGGCATAGCATACATGAAACATTCCAGTATTGTTACTGCAACAGAAATTTGTAATGATGTTAGCATAATAGGTCTTCAAGTGAGTAATTTTTGTTCAATAAGCAAATGTATAATTTAGCAAATATGCTTTTTACTAAAGATAAAAAATATCCACGAGTTCAGATGATAATTATGTGCAGAAAAGGTGAATAGTGAGGACTATCACTTTATAAGTTGTCAATTTTGGAATCTTGCTGATTATTAGCTAGGTAATTATATATAAAAGCAGTTGTGATATTATAAAAGTGTTGAACATTCTGCATTTAGAAACTTTTGCAAAAATATTTTGGAATGCTATGATGTTTAGACCAAAGGAGATCATTACTATTTATTTTTAAACTTTTATTTTACCAAGTATTTTAACATTTAAGAAAATCCAAGAGCAGAATATGATAGAAAATTAGAACTGAGGTTTTTTTCTTGAGTTAGGAAAGAAATTATGTGCTTCTAAAGAGTAACAGGAATTTTGTAGTTTGTGTCCTCTCTAAAGTATGTTTTGTTAGTTAAATGAGAAAAAAATGGAAATACCTCCTGAAATATTAGCTATTCTCCCCCCACCCCCTGTTTCTCTCTCTCTAACTGGAGCTTATCTGAGTAATTTAAAGTGATTATCTGTTGGTACATTGCTAACATACCATCCCTAATTTTTAGGTTTGTTTTACTGGTTTTTTTTTTTTGTTTGTTTGTTTGTTTGTTTTTTGTCTTTTTCCTTTTTTTTTTTCCGGTACTGGGGATTGAACTCATGACTGCCTGCTTGCAAGGCAGGCGCTTATGCCGCTGAGCTAAATCTCCAGCCCCTACTGTTTTGAAAATATATAATTGATTTCTTTTATGCGTCTTTTTCTGTGTTTAAAAAGGAATCAAGGTCAAAATGTTTTGTCTAATAATCACATTCTGTTGGATAAATGTCCACCTCCACGACCTCCAGCTTCACCATATCCTCCATTGCCAAAGGAGAAGTTGAATCCACCTACACCAAGTATTTATGTGAGTCTCAGTTGGTTAGAAAGAAGTAAATCAAATGTTTGAACCAACTTATCTGTGTTTAGATTGTTGATATGTGTTTATGTTAATACAGATGTCATTTCAGAAATGAACAATAATCACTGGCTGAAAATTTCAGAAATACATAAATTCCAAAGGATGATAAATGAATGGTACTCTTTGAATGTTGCCCTATGACATTTTTCTTGTAATATTTAATTGAAACACAGACTTACTCAGTCAGATATTTTCTTTGGGATTATATTTAGAGTTAACTAATCATGAAGCGAAAAATGTAGTCAATAAAATGAAAAATATTTTCTGGCAGAAAAGTTCATTGGCCATTGGTGTTTTAAGAAGTATTTCATGAACAAAAATTTTTAAATCTTTGCCAAATATTTATTGATACTTATGCTAGAGATATTTCTTGCAGTGTGAGCTTTTGGTATATATATATATAGTCAAGGGTATATTGTCTGACTTCCTATTTGTGTGAACCTAGAAAATTCATTTAATTTATGATTTTGTAGTAAAAGATTTTTTCTACTTCCAGAAAGATAACGAAGTGATGAGTATTTTTTATTAAATTATTTAACATTAATGCCTTTTAAAATTTTCATGTGAAATTAAATACATGTTTGCAATTCAGAAGTATAGCCCTTTGATACAGAAAGTTGATATGAGATAAATAAGATGATATTTATATTTCTCCTGAAGAATTTATACTATGTTTTGTTTTTGTTTTCCTTTGAATGCATAAGTGAACAAAATCTAAGTAATAAAGATTTGATACTTAGAATGAACTTCTATATATGAGAGAATTTTGGAGAATCAGCTTTCTCATTTTTCCCAGATTTTCTTTTAACAGCTTACACAATTAAATTTTGTTTGCATTCACTTCTTGTGGAGGTTTGGAATTGGGCATGGTAGTATACACTGTTCAGGTATGGGAACTGGAGTTTGAGGCCCAGTAACAAAGCTCAATCTGAAGAAATCAAAAAATACAACATAGCACAATAAGACAAAACAAAACAACAAAAGAAGGTTGATACTGAGTTGCAAATAAAAACTCAGAAAGAATTAAGGAAAAACTCTGAAGGAATAAATACAAGAAATATGATTGGTCCTAATTAATCCTTTTTTAATTTTCATACTAGTTTTGAAAAGGCTGATTTTAAAATTTAAGTTAGGGGCTGGTCATTTAGCTCAGCAGCATAAGCACCTGCCTTGCAAGGAGGCAGTTGTGGGTTCAATCCCCGGTACCGATAAAAAGGAAAAAGACAAAAAAAAAAAAAAAAAAAACATTTAAGTTAAGTTGGGTGGCACACTCCTGTAATCCCAGCACTTCGGAGGCTGAGGCAGGAGCACTGTTGCAAGTTTGAGACCAAGCTGCTCTGCAAAGTGAGCCAGCCTGAATGGCACAGTGAGACCCTGTCTCAAAAAGGATTAAAAAAAATTTTAAAAACCCCTAAAATTTATTTATTATACATTTCACCTTTTACTGAAGAAATAATGGAAGTACTCTTAAATACTACATTTAAGAAATACCTGAATAACTAAGTTGTTTTAAAAATATTTTATATGAACATTTGTGTGAGATAAGTGGTATTTTAAAAATGTATCACATACAAATGTATTTTTAAAAGAGAAATTTATATAGAATTTTAATGATTTTTAAGTTGAACGTCCTAAGAATAAAGTGCCATCATAGGTAGCCATTCAGTTTTAAAATTATTCATGATAACTTTTAAATGCCTGATTGATGAGAAAATGATTCAAATTGCTTAAATGTTTAATCGTTTTTCTGAGACCTAAAAAAACATTTTAACTTTACAGCTGGAAAATAAACGTGATGCTTTCTTTCCTCCATTACATCAATTTTGTATAAATCCAAAAAACCCTGTTACAGTAATACGTGGTCTTGCTGGAGCACTTAAGTTAGGTAAGTTAAAAAAAAAAGGCTGAACTTTTTTATTTTAATCTTAAAAACATTTTATTGGTACATGTTTGAAGTATATAATTTTTATGTTCTTTTTGTGGAACTGGTATATGTACATAGCACATCTTGACTTCCTTTTTTCATTTACTTCCAAAGCAACGCCTACCCACCCCAACTCTGGCTCCCATCCCACTTAAGAGGGGCCTGTCTTCCTGCTTCCTGTCATCTCTCTTTCATTCTTTTGTGATTTTTTAACCCTAGGACAACTTTAGAAACTCAATTTAGTCTCAGTCTTTTTAAACTTTACCTTAGTGTTACTTTTTCTCTCTCTTGCCTATCTGTCTTTATCGTTTCCTGTTTATCTCTAAGCTGTGTCTTTATCTGTATTTCCTGTCTTTACAGTTGCCTACCTTTACCTTTATCTCTATTTTGCCCTCTTACCAATATTTTGAAATTTTTGTCTATTTCAAAATAGAAATTCTTTTCTTTAAACACATATAAATGATATTTGGTTACTGGCAACTTCTATGGTAAAATTTTATATTAACTTAAAATGTTATAGATCTTGAAGGATATAGGTTAAATCATAAAAAGTTTCAAATATGAAATACATAAAATATTTGATACAGCTTATAAACCTCACCCATAGTTCCACTTGTTACATATGTACATATGTTACATATGATGGTGATTAAATTCAAGGACTGCAGTGCAAGTTTGATTTGAGTAAGGGAATCTGGAATGCCATAAATATGTGTATAAAATAATTTGAAATTTTTATTATATTGCATTCAATTTTATTCATTAATGAAACTTATTTATTTATGAAGATCTTGGACTTTTCTCTACCAAAACATTGGTAGAAGCTAACAATGAACATATGGTAGAAGTAAGGACACAGTTGTTGCAACCAGCTGATGAAAATTGGGATCCCACTGGAACAAAGAAAATCTGGCGTTATGAAAGTAATAGATCTCATACCACAATTGCTAAATATGCCCAGTACCAGGCCTCTTCCTTCCAGGAATCACTGAGAGTAAGTTTGTATGTTTTTCTTCTTTCCATTCCTTCCTAGTTTAACAGAACTTACTACTTTTATAACTATCTATCTGTTATATACTTACATGGTTTATAAGTACTTGTGATTTACATATTATTAAACTTTTAAACATTTAACCAGGCTGATACAAAACAAAATACATTGTTCATAGAGAAATAAAATTATCCCTTTATTTTTGGGAAGTTTTAATTTTTTTAAAAAAATTATTATATGTCTATAGTGAATGATTACATTTATTGTGATGATGTGATACATGCATATGATTTTCTGAGTTTGTTTCTTTTCAGACCCTTTCCTCTTCCCTCTCATCCTTTCTTCTTCTCCATCCCTCCTTTCCTTGTACTTCAGAGCTTTAACTGCATTGTGTGTGTGTAGTACATGCTGATTGCATTACTCATAAGAACTTCATGTATATATACAAGATTTTACAATCGCACCTGTCTATTATTTATTTATTTGTTTGTTTATTTGGAGGAGGTTCTGGGAGTTGAACTCAGGACCTTACACCAGGCCGGCACTGTGCTACTGAGCTAAATCTCTAGCCCCCACATACCTACTTTTTAAAAATCTTATTGTCTGCGTCTTTCTCTCCTCCATTTATCTTATAGGTTACTTTCTATATGTTGAAGATCCCTCTTGCTATTTTGTATTGTCTGTTTTTATTTGGCACTGCAGTTATAAAATAATGGAGTTCTCTTGCAAGAGAAATCATGTGATGTTAAGCTTGTGTACCTTATTTATTTAACATTATGGCCTCTAGGTTTATCTGTTTTCATACAAATGACTCAGATTTTTCCTTATTTTTGACAGACCCTTTTTAAAATGACAATACCTCATTTTAAAAATTTTTTAATGGTGTCATTATCTAGGGGATTACTTTTATACTTTAAATAAATGATGATACTTAACTTTAAAACAAAATAATAGAAGATTACCACTAATTAATATAGTACATATTGTTACCTTCAAAGTAGTTGTACAGATTATAAGATACAGGCATGAAAAAGGAGGTGAGATACCATATTTTTTTTAGTCATCTGTTGATGCACGTTTAATGTCTCCAAGATTAAGCTATTAGGAAATGTGTTATTATAAACATGGAAATGAATGTAATAGAACATCACCTGTCATGGGTATTAATATAGTGTAGTATCTTTAACTTTGCTGAGAAGATACCCAGTCAAGGAATAGCTGGATCAAATATAATTTCAGTGTTTAGTTTTTGGGTAAACTCCATATTACACCAGTTTATTTTCCCAGCAAAAATGAAGAAGGGTTTCTTGTTCTCTCAGTCACTTCAGTGTTTGTTGTTACTTGATTTCTTCAATATAGACATCCTTTCAGCAGTGAAATGGAATCTCAGCTATATTAATTTGCCTTTCTTGAATGACCAGAAAGGCTGAACAATGTTTTCATAGTTTTTTTTCATTTGTACTTCTCAATCTGAGAAATGTGGATTCATTTCAGATGTCTATTTTTTGAGTGGCCTTTAAATTTAGAGTCAAGTTTTTAAAATTCTCTACATGCTGCAGATGAGTAACTGGCAACTTTAAAAAACCTGCAATAATTTTGATGATTTTACCTTTGTATGTGATTTGTTGCCTTTTTCCAACAGTTTTTAGTTAATAGATTATATATTGTCATTTTAGAAATAGTTGTTCATCTTACAAAATTAAAGCATACAAAGTGGACATTCAAACAGTGAGACTGCAAACAATTTTGTTCAATGATCCAACAAAAACTTAATAATATGGTTGTCTGTGTTACACACTTAAATATACATGCAGTTATATCCTTTAGAGCACTTTCTTTTCCTCTCTTTTTTACAATAACAATTACACATTCGGGGTTTTATTACTCCCACAGTTCTTATTACTTTTTTTGAAGAGAATAAAACCAAATGTGACAAAACAAAATGGAGTCAGTCAAAACAAATGATGGACATAGTACATGTAAAAACAGAATACAAAGTGATCAACAATGGTTACCATAATGCCTCTTGCTATCTTAAAAAGAATTGTCTATATCATCAGATATAATAAAATTGAACAAAACAGTACAGAACAAAACCCATAAAACTGAAACACTGGAGAAATTACAGGACTTCAAAAGAAGATAGTAGTCAAAACCAGAATTGGCATTATAGTGAATCTTAGTGTGTTCAAAGTAAGTTGCCTATATCCTCAAACTTGATACTATCAAACAGAACAGAATAGAATAAAATTAGTCAAAACAATATGGTGAGAGCAATACAGGGGTTCAAATCAAGTTAATAGGAAATCAAAGAGTTACTGTGACATATCCTGCAATTTTTAAATTTTTCCTTTAATTAAAAAAATAATGAAAAGAAAGAAAGAAAAATAAAAAGGAAGGAAGAACAAAAGAAAAGGGGAGATTGAGATAAAAGAGGATATAAAAACATAACAACACAGGTCAGAACAGAACAATTTAAGCAACATAGTGTTTCACCACAAGATAACCTGACATAGTGGTAGTACATAGACTCTCTTTCCTTGAAATATTTCAGTAGAACTTCGTATACTGTAGCATCAGATATATTAAGACAGTGTGAAACCATTAAAGAGAATGAAAGTATTACAGGGTATTTAGAACCAGCTAATGGAAAACAAACAATGGTTTCTATATTATCTCTTTGCCTATAAAATTTTTTTATACTATCACATATAATAAAATCCAATAAGATACAACATGACAAAACAATGGAGACAGAAGAACAACAGCTTGATGGGACTTTAAAACAAGATGATATTAAATCAGCACCAGCTGTTATGATGTCTCGTTTTCTTCAAAACATGTGATGGTTCATACCATCACAGACAATAAAATCAAACAACCCAGAACAGAACCATTCCAATTAATGAGTGAAAACATTATAAGACTTCAAAGCAATATATTGAGGAATCATGATTACCACATACATTTATGTATTCATATCATTTCTTTTTGAGACGGAGTCTTGTTATGCAGTTCAGGCTGGACTTGAGCTCACTTTGTAGCCCAGGCTGGTCTTGAACTCGCAACGATCCTCCCACCTCAGCCTCCCGAGTGCTGGGATTACAGATGTGAGCCACCATGCCCGGCTCTATTCATATCATTTCTGACAATACGGGAACTATTCGGTATTCATACATGTGAGTTTGATTTATTTCACTTGTGAGTATGGTCTCAAGCTGAGCCCGTTTATAAACATCTCAATGTGATCGTTCTTTGTAGCCGAGTAGTACACGATTGTATAAAAATACCACAACTTTTTTATCCATTTGTCAGCTGATGGACATTTACGTTGTTTCCAAGATCTGGCTATTACAAATTGTGCTGCTATAAACATGGGTGCACACTTATCACTGTGGTATGATGCTTTCAGTTTTGGGAATGTGCCTAGAAGTGGGATACCTGGAACAAATGGGACTTCCAATCCCAGCTTTTTGAGAAATCTTCAGACTGACCTCCACAAAGCTTGCACCAGTCTACAGTCCCACCAACAGTGCAAGAGAGTTCCTTTTTGCCCACAGCCTCTCCAGCATTTGGTGTTGATGGTTTTCTTGATCCTGGCCATTCTTTGAGGAGTGAGATGGTATCTCAGTGTGGTTTTAATTTGCATTTCTCTAATGAATAATAATGATGAACATTTTCTCATGTATTTGTTTGCCATTTGTATTTCTTCATCTGAGACGTGTGTATTCATCTCAGATACCCATTTTTGGATTGGGACTTTGAATTTTGGGAGTCTGATTTTTTTTTTTTTAATTCTTTATATGTTGTAGACAGAAGCTCTTAGTCGGAGAGACAGTTCACTAAGATTTTTTCCCAGTGTGTGGGTTTTCTTTTCACTATACTGTGATTTCTTTTTACATGCAGAAACTTCTTAATAAGAGGTGATCCCAGTTATTGATTCTGGGAAGTATTTCCCTTGTGGTTTGATTCCTGTTCAGGAATTTTCTATCTACTCCTACATCTTCAAGGTTTTTACCCAGTTTGTCTTCCAATAGATTCACTGTTTCTGTTTTAATTTTCAGATCTTTGATCCATTTAGATTTTATTTTGTACATGGTTATAGCCATGGGTCAAGTTTTAGTTTTTGACATATAGAGAGCCAGTTTTTCCAGCACCATTTATTAAAGAGTTCTTCCAGTGAACCTGTTTGTCTTCCAGTGAACCTGTTTGTCCCCTATATCAAAGATAAAGTGGTTGAATGTGTTTGTAGTTGTGGTTGTATCTTCTAATCTATTGCATTGATCTTCAGCTTTGTTTTGATTCCAGTACTATGTTGATTTTACTACTGTTGCTTTGTAGTATGACTTCCCAAGTCAGAGATTGGTGATGCCTCCTGCCTTTGCTGCTTAGAACTGTGTGCTATTCTAGGTCTCTTCTTGCCAGATGAATTTTAGGAGTGATTTCTCTAGATCTATGAGGAATGTTGATGGTACTTTTTTATTGGGATTGTATTGAATCTGTATAACTGTTTTGGGAGAATGGCCATTTTCACATTATTTATTCTTCCTATCCATGAACAAGGAATGTCTTTCCATTTTCTGAGATTATCTTCAATTTCTTTTTTAAGGCCATTATAATTTTCCCTGTATAGGACTTTCACTTCTTTCATGAGAGTAATTCCTAAGTATTTCATTTTTTTGGTTGCTAGAGTGAGGAGCGTGGCTTCTCTTATTTCTATCTCTGTGATTTCCTTGTTAGTGTATAGGAATGCTATTGATTTTTGAGTATTGATTTTGTATCCAGCTACATTACTGAATTAATTTACTATATATCAGAGTCTTTCAATAGAGTTTAGGGTGTCTTCTATGTAGATTATCATGTCATCTGCAAACAATAATAATTTAACTTCTTTTCCTATTTTACTCCTTTTATTTCTCACTCTTGTCTAATTGCTCTGGCTAGTATTTCCAGTACAGTATTAAATAGGAGCGGTGATAAGGGACATGCTTATCTTGTACTTG